GTGATGGGTGTTCATCAATTGGAAGGTCAGGTAACGGGGGTTGTTGCGGTTATCTCGGTGGACATATAGTGAGGAGAGGAATTCTAAGGTAAGCCGTTTATAGGTGTTAGCATGCATTTCTAACCAATTTGGGACACCGGTTTGAAAAAAAAGTTGTCTAACATCATTCTCTACACCAAAGGCTTCGGCTACCTCATGGTTGTGAAATTTCGTTGGCCGAATTCTTCTCCTACTAATTCTTAGGTAGTTGTTCATGAAATCCAAATTATTAAAGACAATACCTAAGGTGTCCACCTGCGTTATTCGATGGTTGATGGAGGTGGAGGATTTCTAAGCCTAGTGGAGGAGGTGTTTCTTGGTTGGTTTCTTCTTGACATGATCAAATATATTCTTTTTTTTTCAAGGACACTTCAAGTAGGCAGAACACCTAATGAACAAGGACTTGAAACACACAAGGCTATAAGTCTTCCACCTAACCAACACACAACAAGAGTAATCCCGAAAAATTACCAACAACAATCTTATCAATTCAAACAATCCAACACCAAAATTGTCAATGCTCACAATTTACCAACAACAATTCAACAATCCAACACCAAAAGCATCCATACTCACAAAAACCTATCACAAACCAAAATTTCAATGCTCATAATTCACTCAAATTTTTGCTTTTATACTACTAAACTAACAATAATCACAATTACTTAACAAAATGTCAACAATTTCAACTATTACTACTCATAATATCAACCAACAAGCACTTAAACTATATAGGAAGAGCTTGAGATTAGAAAGATTATACCAAGAATGTCGTGGGTGTAGAACCCGCAAATGAACATTTCTAGTACTCCTTGTTGTTGATTGAAGGCCCTTGTTCACCCAATTTGCTTAAAGAATCAAAATTCAAGAAACCCCCAAATCAATTTTGAAAGTTAGGGTTTGAGGAAATTTTGGTATTTTGGGGTTTTGATGGTGAAAAGGGGTAGTAATTTGTGAAGAATATTGAAAGAGGAGTGAAAATAGTAGTTTAGAATAGGGATTTGAGTGAAAAATGGAGTTTGAAGGGTGAGAATAAGGTATGGAGAAATAGTAGTAGTATGGAGTATGGAGTATGGAGGAAGGAGAGTTTGAGTGTGAAAGAGGAGTGAGATTCGTGGGGGGGGTCTCCGAAGCTCAAAGTTTTTTTTTCTTTTTTTTTTAGATAAATCGGCATATTGCTGTTCAAATTGAATCTGCACGGACGTGCAGAGGTTGGCACGGACGTGCAGATTCCTGGCAGAATAGCAGTTTGTTCTATCCTCGAGTGCACGGACGTGCAGTGTTACGCACGGTCGTGCAAAATGGCACGGTCGTGCAGATTTCGGCACGGACGTGCCAAGTCTCATATTTCACTCTTTCTTCTTCTGTCTGCTTCTGCTCTCATTTGCACAGACGTGCGATGTTCTGCACGTCCGTGCATACTTGATGGTGCACGATTTCTCTTTCTTTTTTTTTTATTTTTTTTATTTTTTTTGTATTACTCCTCTTTTTAACAAATACCTACAAAAGATATTTTAAAAAAAAGAGTTAGTAATAATAAAAATAAAACAAATGAAATAGTAGTTTATGAGAGAGAGTGAGGAACTCGGGTTGCCTCCCGGAAGCGCTTCTTTAACGTCACTAGCTTGACGAAATTGCGGAATCAAATGTTAGTGAGGAATATCGAACTCATCAAGGTGAATAATTTTGACTTCTTCGTTCACAAAACCGTCAAGGTACGCCTTTAGCCTTTGGCCATTTACTTTGAACGGTTCACCATTTTTTCCTTGGATATTTCGATTGCACCGTATGGAAACACCTTCTTGACGGTAAAAGGTCCACTCCATCTTGATTTCAGCTTACCCGGAAACAACTTCAACTAGGAATTGAATAGTAAGACTTTGTCACCTTCCTTGAACTCCCTTTTGTTGATATGCTTGTCATGCCAAGCCTTGGTCTTTTCTTTGTAGATTCGTGCATTCTCATATGCATCCAATCTTAGCTCTTCCAAGGCATGGAGGCTAAGCAACCTCTTTTCACCGGCACTTTGAAGGTCAAAGTTCAACGTTTTAATAGCCCAATGAGCACGATGCTCAAGTTCTACCGGTAAATGGCATGATTTCCCATATACAAGCTTGTAAGGGGTGGTGCCAATGGGAGTCTTGAATGCGGTGCGGTAAGCCTATAGAGCATCATCTAGCTTCGTAGACCAATCCTTTCTAGACCTATCCACCGTCTTCTCTAGGATCACCTTTATCTCCCGGTTTGAAATCTCGGCTTGACCACTTGTTTGTGGGTGGTAAGCCAATGACACCTTGTGCCTCACACCGTACTTCTCAAGGAGAGCTTGGAAGGACCGCTTTGCAAAATGCGAACCTCCATCACTAATGACGGCACGTGGCACCCCGAACCTTGGAAAAATGACCTTCTTGAAGAGTTTGACCACCACCTTAGCATCATTAGTAGGAGATGCAACCGCTTCTACCCACTTTGACACGTAATCGACGGCCACAAGAATGAATTTATTCCCAAAAGAGGTCGTGAAAGGGCCCATAAAATCTATGCCCCATACATCAAAAATCTCCAACTCAATAATGTTGTTCAATGGCATTTCACTTCTTCTTGAAATATTGCCAGTTCTTTGACACCGGTCACAAGCTTTCACTACACCCCACACATCTTTGAACATGGAAGGCCAATAGAAACCACATTGTAAGATCTTTGCCAAAGTTTTGTTAGCACTCATATGTCCTCCACAAGGTGAGGAGTGACACATTGTGATACTACTTTCAATCTCATCATCCGGGACACACCTTCTAAAAAGGTCATCAACACCGTGTTTAAAGAGCAAAGGGTCGTCCCAAAAGTATTGGCGAACATCATGAAGAAAATTCTTTTTTTGTTGATAGGTGAGGTCGGGAGGAAGAATAGAGCAAGACAAATAGTTTGCAATGTCCGCAAACCATGGTGTCGGTGCTTGAAGGATAGAAAATAGTCGATCATCCGGAAATGAATCATCAATTGGCAAGTTATCAAGATCACCTACAAAGATAGGCAACCGTGAAAGATGATCGGCCACAACATTTTCGGCACCCTTCTTGTCTCTAATCTCAATATCATAATCTTGCAAGAGCAAGACCCACCGAATCAATCTTGGCTTAGGTTCTTTCTTGGATAAGAGGTACTTTAAGGCCGCATGGTCGGTGAAGACTATGACCTTAGAGCCCAACAAGTAGGACCTAAACTTCTCAATTGCATGAACAATGGCTAGAAACTCCTTTTTCGTGGTTGTGTAATTTCTTTGTGCCTCATCCAATGTTTTGCTAGTATAATAGATAGCATGGAGCTTCTTGTCCTTTCTTTGTCCAAGAACGGACCCAACAGCAAAATCCGAAGCATCACACATAAGCTCGAAAGGAAGCTCCCTATTAGGGGGTTGAATGATAGGAGCCGAAATAAAGGCCTCCTTCAACCTATCAAATGCTAGCAAACAATCATTAGTAAACACAAAAGGGGCATCTTTCACCAATAATTGAGTGAGCGGCTTTGCGATTTTTGAAAAATCCTTTATGAACCGGCGGTAAAAACCCGCATGTCCAAGAAAGCTCCTTATCCCCTTCACATTTGTAGGGGGTGGGAGGCGCTCAATTACTTCAATCTTGGCACGATCTACCTCAATGCCCCTACTAGAAATCACATGACCAAGAACAATGCCCTCCTCTACCATGAAATGACATTTCTCCCAATTCAAAACTAAGTTCACCTCTTGACATCTTTTTAACACTTTAATCAAATTTGAAAGACAAGTGTCAAAAGATGAACCAAAAACAGAAAAGTCATCCATGAATACTTCAATTGATGATTCAAGCATGTCGGAAAAAATAGACATCATACACCTTTGAAATGTGGAAGGTGCATTACAAAGTCCAAATGGCATTCTTCGATATGCAAAGGTGCCAAAAGGACATGTGAATGTAGTATTTTCTTGGTCCTCGGGTTGGATTGGGATTTGAAAGAATCCCGAGTATCCATCCAAGAAGCAATAATGACTATGTGATGCTAGTCTTTCCAATATTTGATCAATGAAGGGGAGTGGGAATTGGTCTTTCCGGGTGGATTTATTCAATTTTCGATAATCAATGCTTATCCTCCACCCGGTGACCGACCTCGTAGAAATGGTCTCACCCTTATCATTTTTTATGATGGTCATGCCTCCCTTTTTAGGCACAACTTGAACCGGGCTAATCCACTTACTATCAGAGATAGGGTAGATTATGCCCGCTTCAAGAAGTTTCAAAACTTCTTTTTTCACCACTTCCTTCATGTTGGGATTGAGCCTCCTTTGGTGCTCAATCGAGGAAGCATGATCATCATCAAGTAGAATTTTATGCATGCATATGGTGGGACTTATCCCCTTAATGTCATCAATTTTGTACCCAATGACATCTCTATACTCCCTTAAAACAACTAGGAGTTTCTCAAGAGAGGTGTCATCGAGCTTAGCATTGACAATAACGGGATAACTCTCACTATCATCAAGAAAAGCATATTTAAGTAGAGGGGGAAGGGGTTTAAGTTCAACCTTAGGAGGAGGAGTAGTCCTCTCCTCTTTTGCCTCCACGTTGAGCACTTCAAATTTCATCACATCATGAACAAAAGGTTGGTTGAGTAAGAGATCATACCCCTTTGCTTCTTCACCCTCCTCAACTAAGCTTCCCGTTAGGGTAGCTTGTAAAGGATCTCTTTCATACAATTTTTCTTGGAACTCTTCTAAGTCCCTCTCCAATGTGTCAATCCTATGAACTTCATCAATCAATGGCTTCTTCAAAGTTTGTGAGAATGAAAATGAAATTTTCTCATCTCCCACATTCAAAGTCAATCTTCCTTCCTTCATATCAATCACCACTTCCGCGGTGTTCAAAAATGGTCTCTCCAAAATGAGGGGTACTCTTGAATCTTCTTCCATCTCCATTACTACAAAATCACATGGCACAAATACTCTTCCAACTTGCAGCCGGCACATCTTCAAGAATCCCCAAAGGTAGCCTAACCGTGCGGTCGGCTAGTCGTAAGGACATTCTTGTTGGTTTCAAGTCTCCAACTTTCAAGCTCTTTGCAATAGAATAGGGCATAAAGCTCACACTTGCCCCAAGATCACATAAAGCATCCATAGCTTCAAAATCTCCAATCTTCACCGGTATTGCATAGCTACCGGGGTCACCAAGCTTTTGGGGAAGCTTGTTTTGAATGATTGCACTCACCTCCTTAGGAAGGGAGATGGTTGCACTCTCTTCAATCCTACTCTTGTTGGATAGAAGATCCTTCAAAAATTTTGCATAGGTAGGCATTTGTGACATAGCATGAAGAAAGGGGATGTTCACTTGAAGTCCTCTCATGACTTCAAGAAATTTTGAAAACTTCTCATTCAACTTTATCTCTACAATTCTATGAGGAAATGGAATGGGGGGCTTATATACTCTCATAGGGGGCTTTTCTATTCTTTCTTCATCTCCCTCATCTTTCTTTGTGGCTCCCTCATCACTCTTTTGATCTTTTCTCTCAACTTCAACTACTTCATTTTCAAAATCATCCTCACTTCTCACCACAACTCCCTCATCTCTCTTTTGTGGCTCCTCTTCACTCATAACCGGGCCCTCATAACCTCTTCCCGATCTCAAAGTAATAGCCTTAGCTTGCTCCTTTGGGTTCACTACCGTTGAGCTTGGAAAGTGACCACTAGGATTGGAGGATGAACTTCCAACTTGTTGTGCAATTTGAGCCAATTGGCTCTCCATTATCTTATTGTGTGCTTGGAGTTGTTGGATGTTTGCATTCATATCCGCATTGTTTTTTATTTTTTGTGTCATAAAAGTTTCAAGAACGGATTCAAGGCTAGTCTTTTGAGGAGGTGGAGGAGGAGCGGGTTGGTTATGTTGTGGTCTTTGTTGGTTTTGATCCCTTTGGTTAGGATGGCGGTATGGAGCTTGTTGGTTTTGAGACTGAGGTTGGTTGTAGTGGTTTTGAGGTTGGGTTTGATTTGGTTGTAGTTATTTTGTGGGGGGCCTTGGTTGTATTGCTTCCATCCCGTGTTTTGTTGGGGCTTCCAACTTTGATTGTGGGATTGGGAGTATTGTTCATTCCTTTGCCCAATTGCCGCCGCTTGCTCTTGATTCGTTGAGTTGCAATAAGAGGACAAGTGATCATTTCCTCCACAAGTCTCACAAGACATGACTTGTGAAGAAGAGCTTGAGGGTGTGAGGGTGGCTTGATCTAGCTTGTGAGCTAGCATATCGAACTTTGATGCAATAAGATCTATTGCACTAAGATCATGAATTCCGCCCTTCTTTGTTTGAGGTTGCCTTCGATCACCTCCATATGCATAATGCTTGGCAACTTCTTCAATTATCTTATATGCATCATCCACCGATAGCTTTTTGAGGCTACCACCGGCCCCGGAATCAAGGTTGGCCCTTGAAATAGGAGTAAGACCGTCATAGAAGCTTTGTACAATGATCCATGATGTAAAACCATGGTGGGGGCATTTCCTTGTGTAATCTTTGAAACGCTCCCAAGCTTCACTCAATGTTTCATCAATGTCTTGATTGAAATTAGTGATCTTTCTTCTCAATTCGGCGGTCTTTTCCGGAGGACAATAATTTCCAAGAAAGGCTCTAGTGACTTCGTCCCATGTACTCAATGATCCCTCTTCAACCGTTCTCAACCAATGCTTTGCTTTATCACGGAGGGAGAATTGAAACATGTGCATACGGATGAACTCTTCCGAGATGTTGTTTTGCTTGATGGTCGTACACAACTCAAGAAAGTTGTCCAAATGAGCAAAAGGACACTCATGAGGACTACCTCCAAATTGATCGCTTTGAATCATACAGATGAGTTGTGGTGAAAGCTCAAAGTTGTTTGCATTTGTGGTGGGAAGACGTATGCCACTCCGAAGTTGGAATGCGTTGGGGTGGTCATAGTCTCTTAACAATGGTTGAGGAGGATTCTCTCCCATGTTATCTTCTTCGTTAGCTCCAAAAACCTCTTCCGGATCGGAATCCGAATATACAATGGAAAACTCGGGTGTGTCGTGCAAGAGTCTCCTCACGTTTCTCAAAGTCCTATTTAGCTCTGGATCAACGGGAATAAGCGGTGATTGCTTACTCTTTCGTGTCATGCAAAGTCAAACAAAGCTAAGAAAAACATTAGCAATGACTATCACAAGTTAAACACACATAAATAGAAATTAAGGTAAGAAAACTACTATACATATACACACATCTAGTCTCATTCAACAATAATAAATTCAATGTGACTTTGCCTCCCCGGCAACGACGCCAAAATTTGATAGGCCATCGTCGAGCCTACCAAAGATAATAATTCCTATCTTGGTCTCACTAACAATAGTAAGGGTAAGAAAGGGTCGAACCCAATAGAGGCGTTGAATCAACCACCGAGTACTACCGTTTAAATAAGCTAAATGAATTCTAAATTGGGTTGGTTTTGAGTAACTTCTACTAGTTCAATTCAACTAAAGCTTAAAGGAAACTAACAATATTTAGAGGAATCTAGGGCTCGAGTTATACCACTCAACTTCAACACAAATCACAAATAGCATGCAACAATCAAGGTAAATTAATGGGATAAATTAGAGGAAGTCATCTAAGGCACCCAACTACTCTCTCAAGCTAGAAGGATTACTTGAATCATGAATACAACCTACTCTCGTGGTTACAAAGCATAAAACAAGTGTTAAAGCATAATCACGATGACATAAACATTCCCTTGACCGAAAATTCCTATTCTCATGGCATTTCGGGTCAATCAAGCATAAGGGAGCTAACTCAAGTTCATCTCTCGATCCTTCGTTGAGGAAGCTTGGATAAATAGTTCTAGCAATGGCCATATACAAGAACTAAGAAATTAAACCACTTAAGCTCAACTAATTATCTTCCCACAACAACCAAATTAGCACATGAAACTAGTTATTAGTGACTACATTGAGGGTTTTACCCAAACCCTAGAAATTAGACTACTCACAATCCATGGAGGTTAAAGAAAATAGGGATTTCAAGCAATTCATGAACAAGTCCAAACTAAGGATTAAGCTAATTAACAATCTAAACATGCAAGAACTAGCAAATAATTAACAACAAAGTAAAGAGAAGTAGAAAAGATGAGTAAGAAATGGTTACTATGAAGCTTCAAGGTGAGCAACAATGGTGGAACTTGTCTTCTACAATGATTGAATTTGAATGTTTCCAAGCTAATAATTAGAATCTAACTAATGATTTGAGAATTTAAAGTTCTAGGACTACAAACTAAGAGGAAAGCTCTAAAATTCTGCATAGTCCGTACAAATGAGCTCAAAGGGGGTATTTATAAGACCCCCAAATAAAAAGGACGGAGAAAACAAGAATCGGGCTTGACTGCAAGTCTGCACGGACGTGCCAGATTCGGCACGGGCGTGCAAGGATAAGCACGGTCGTGCCAGATTTGGCACGGACGTGCAGAAGGGTCAGAAATGAGGCAGAACTTACTGCCAAGAATCGAGCAGGTCCGCACGGTCGTGCAGATATTGGCACGGACGTGCAGCATCTGCACGGACGTGCCAAATTAAGCACGACCGTGCAGGCCTTGGCAGAATGTTCTAAGTTTCTGGAGCACTCCTGCACGGACGTGCAAGGTCTGGCACGGCCGTGCAGCCTCTTCTACACGGACGTGCCAAATTAAGCACGGTCGTGCAGGCCTTGGCAGAATGTTGAAACTTTCTGGAACCTCCTGCACGGACGTGCAAGGTCTGGCACGGCTGTGCAGGGTCTTCTAAGCCTTTTTTCCATCTTTTCTTCTATATTGCTCATTTCCTTGGCTTCTTTCTACCATCTTCTTGCTTCTAACCTCGGTTTTGTATCCATGGGCTTCATTTGGTCGTCCTTGAACCTAGAACCTCAACAAAAACACTAACAACCCGTGAAGCATAGGATACATAAAAATTGCATAATAATACCAAAACACCAATTTTATCAAATAAACTAGGTTCAAAATCACTCTAAAATCATATCAAATAGCAAGTTATCAAGCCGCCTCGGTTATCTCCCTGGAGAACGCAGACGGCTGTTCCCCAAGGTTTAGCAGCCGGAGCTGCTAGTATGGGCCGGACATTTTGTGCCGCCCGACCCCCAAAAAGGGTCGGCTGCATGTAGGGTGATCCATACGACATGTATGGTTGTTAAGGCACATACGGAGTCGGTTGGATAATCTGAGGGCCAGTACGTGCGAACATGCCGCGTGACTGACTCTCTCGGTTTGTTTCCGAATACCTCATTAAAGTGTTCCGAAAACTGTCTGGGTAAGTCGACGTTGAAGCCAACTCAGACAATTGTTGACTTCTTTTCTGCTGGATTAACATCCGGGCATCCAAGTAAGTCTTTTTTTATCCATCCGGCTGGATCTGCCGGATGGCCTTCCGTTTCCCTGCTTCAGGGAGACGGAATTTTGATAGATCTAGCATGGGCCCATCCGTCCCCTTTGGCTTAGGGTGAGGAGTAGGCACTCGATCCTTCACTTGCTTCTTCCCAAGGGAGAAGGCTTCTTGGCCGACTGACCCTTGTTGGTACCCGTAGACTTGTTTATAAGGTGCTTGATTTCCCCTTTGAAACTCGTTATGAATTTCATGAGTTCGTCTCTTATAACGGGGGCAGCACCCTCTGCCGCCTGGGGTGTTCCAGCCGGCTTGACGGTTGGGTTGTTTGGACCAGCTTTGTCTTCGTCTAGTTCCCTTGTTTCCTTAGAACGGGTGCGTCTTGTTCTGAATGACCCGTCTGGGGCCACATAGGTGTCGACTTCAAGGTCGTCACTACTATCTTGGTCCGTGTGGACCTCAGCTTCGGCCGTAGGCCGTTTTCCTTCAGCAGGCGGTACAGACTCTGATGCCATCTCAGAAGTACTCACCCCACAAACGGCGCCAAATGTTTCGGGGTTTTTGGAGTCCCTCGGGAGAGTTACAATTCCAAGAATGTGCGTCGACTGTCTGTACCTGCAAAACCACGAAAAACTCTGGTTGAGTGGAGTTCCGCCTCCGACGATCAAGTTAGAACGTATCCGGATGTATAAAAGTGTGGAATGTAAAGGTTTTTCTCTCGGATTCCGAGAGAATTCTGCAATTAATATTGCTCAGATTTTGTGTGTATATGAATGAATATGCAATAAATGAGGATTTTCCTCTATTTATAGTGTAAGGGGATCAGTTCCCCTTTCATGGGTTGGAGTGCCACGTGTCACCAGAGGATTGGTTCTCTTAGGACCCCTCTGAGGCTGACACGTGTCAGCACATGATTGGTCCACGTGAACAGGGTAGTTTTACCCTAAAAAGAGGGGGATTTTATTGTTAATTCTAAGTCTGTTTGTTCACAATTAGTGTCATGTAATAAGGAGAATAAGGAGTTGGTGGGGTCTATGTGGAACCAAAAGGAGATAAAAGGTAAGGGGGAGACATACGTGGTCTCCACCAGTGGAAAAACATCACATTATTTTCCAAAATGCCATTATGAGAAACAAAAGTGTTTCTCATAATGAGGAAATGGGGCTCCCTCAAAAAAAAGAGAGTAGAGATGTCTAATATAGTCGGCGACGAGGTAAATCAAGTAGAAAGAGTTGGGATAAGCCAACCCCTCGAAGAGCAATGAAAATATTGAGCTGGAATGTCAAAGGGCTTGGCAACCCTGGGACGGAACGTACTCTTCGGGATTTATGTTGGAGAGAGAGGCCGAATATTGTTTTCCTAATGGAAACAATG